GCAGTCTCACACAATAAGATTTCCCAAAGGATCACCAGAAACAAAGCTCACCGGAAGCCATTGATGAAGCCCACTTGGGTTCTCTGCAATTTTTGAATTGGCTTTGAGCTTTGAACTTGGAACTCATGGCGGATTCTTCGCATGAAGTACTATTCCCTCAATATTTAAATAGTATCCTGATTAACTAAGGAGATTTGGAATCTTTCTATCATAATTTTGTAAATTAATCAATGATTTTAGGTATTTCAAACAACTTCTTAGAATTTCACTCATATCCTCGCCACTAGGCCACGGAATGAAAATGAACATGGCAGCAAATAGTAGGCATAGATATCAAAATTGTAACAACTTACTCTTCTCTTTATACCCATCTTGATCTTGTACAATCTCATGATTTTTCATTCTTTGTCTCTTTCAAAAATTCAAGAATTCATTGACATTTGTTCGTGCTGATACCGATATGTGTCGTAAAAATATCGCCGTACTAGCCCCTCGGTTAGCGCATCCCACAAGAGAAGAGAACATTTTGATGCCGACAACTTCAAGAATCGTAATTTTTACCCCATCGAAGACCCCAACCTCCCCGCCTCAACCACATTTCGATCATCTCTGCAAGTATGGCGCCCGCGACGCAGCAAGTCTTCATCGATGGCACTTTCGAGGATTTGGCCCAAGAGCTGGCCGAATACCTCGAAATCGGCCCAGAAGTTCAACCCCTCCTCGCAGCAAAACAGAAGGATGAAGCTTTAAAGAAACTTGTCACTGCTTCGGAAAAGTTGAACTCATCTCCAGAGAAAGAATTTACTGCCGCATACAACCTATTGGTCTATCTCTGCAACCAGTCTCCAAATGTCAACATGTATCTGCCTAGAATTTGCGACAACCTCGCAAAACCAATTACTTCATCACCTTTGAATGGACCAGGCCTCGCGCTGAATGTTCTGACAACCATCTTCAACCTTTTACAACCAGATAATGAGACCAGATTTAATGTCTTCCAAGCTGTTCTTAAGCTCATCAAGAACAGTGGAAACTACGAAATGTTGCGACCACAGTTGAAGAAATTGGACACCTGGATTGTTGAATGGCAGATTGAGGAGGAGGAGCAAAGAAAACTTTTCGAAATGATCGCAGAAGTGGCAGATGATTCCGGCGAGGAGGAGTACGTTTGAAGTCAATCTCAGTGACTCGAGTATATTTTACTAATCTTGCTACGTTTAGGGAATCATACCAATATATTCTCAAAGCTCTCCGAACTTTCGACGGCAAAGATGAGAAAGCCATTGCTTCCGAATCGGCCCAGAAACTCGCCATTAAAGCATTAAGAACCGCGATTCTCTCCAACACCCATTTCGATTTCCATGATCTTACTTCCCTTCCCGCCGTTCAAGCCTTGAGCGATTCCCACGCAATCTACTCTGAACTCCTTGAAATCTTCGCCGAGAAGGAGCTTGAGGACTACAATGATTTCCAAGACGAGCACGATGGTTTCGTCGAGAAAGAGAACTTGGACAACAGCAAGTTGCACCGTAAGATGCGACTCCTGACCTTGGCTAGTTTGGCTGCCTCGACCCATACCCGCGAACTCGAATACAAGCGCATTTCCAAAGCATTGCAAGTCGCACCTGAAGATGTTGAGATGTGGGTTATCGACGTTATCAGAGCTGGTTTGGTTGAGGGCAAATTATCACAACAGAAGCAAGTTTTCCTTATTCACAGAACCACATACCGTGTATTTGGAGAGAAGCAATGGCGTGAGGTTGCCACGAGGTTGGATCAATGGAAGGAGAGTTTGAGAGGCGTAAAGGAGGTTATCAGCAGGGAGAGACAAGCTGCTGAAACTCAAAAGGAGAAAGAAATCCAAGAGGCCGATAAGAAGGTTTCTGGTACACAGGGGATGAGAGCTGGACGAAGAAGTGATAACATGGTAGAGATGGGTACTGATTAGGACATCAACCCCTGAAAGTTGTTGTTAATTCATGGATTGGTCTCAAAAAAAGGTTCCTCGTTTCATCGGCGTTCTTAGATGTTTGTACAGTGGCAATGCAATGGTTCGCATTAGCATCTGGTAATGGTGTAGGAGAACATCCATTATTTTCATGTTCACGATGAAGCCACGATATAAAGCCATGAAAAGGGAGTGAAGTGAAAAGAAGATTAAGAATAGAAATCTACATATCGAATGAGATGTGCATTTGAACATGCCTGATGTTTATGATTTCTACAACTATCGGATTAAAACGAGAATGAAGGATGTCAATCCCTGATTCGTATTATGTGTTTGTTATTTGTTGTTGTATGTTTCTTTTCATACTCTGTCTGTATGAGGTATTTTTTTACTTTCCTGATCTATATTCCGGATTATACCCTCCTTGCCTGCTCCCATATATCTATCAAACTCCCTCCCATGCAATCTACCTATATCCATTTCCATACCCCCCACTTCCAAAACTTGTGTATCCTCGACCCTTCTCAAAATGTCTTTCCCAACTTCTCCTCCAACTTCTTTCTAGTCTCCTCATAAACCCCCTCTGGGGTCTTTGTAGCGTCGAGTTTAATAACTCTGCCCTGCTTATCAAAATAATCCACAACCGGCATACTCGTCTCGATGAAAACCTTGAATCGCTTCTGAATGCTCTCAGCATTGTCATCTGTTCTGCCGCTAGTCTTTCCCCTCTCCATCAATCTTCTTTGCATTTCCGCCTCGGGGCAATCGTAGAACAACACATATCTTCCTTTACAAACTGTATCTTCAAATTTATGCGCCTGATCTAATTTGCGTGGGAATCCATCGATCAAAAACTTCCCAGTTCCAGTGGGAGATTTGGAAATGACTTCCGTCATGGCGTTTTCGAGCAGTTGAACTGTTACTTCCATGGGTACTATAAGACCGTTCTTGATGTAATCTTTAATCATCTCTCCGAATTCAGAGCCGGGACGCTCTTGCTCAGCCCGTAATAGATCCCCGGCGGAGAGATGGGTAAAGTTGTAGTCTCGGACGAGGTTGGCGCATTGAGTACCTTTTCCGGCTCCTGGGCCACCGAGAACGAAGAGGATGGTTACTTTTTCGGGAGAGAAGGTTGGGGTTGGTTTTGGGGGAGAAGGGAGTTGGGGAGTTGGAGGGGCCATGTCTGGTGGTATGGGATGTTAGAGATGAGTTTGTGCTGAATATGGTACGGGAGGTAGGGAGAGAGGGAAATGGGAAATTTGGCAGATGGGGGGATAGATGGATGGACAATGAGCGAATGCATGAGATGAGGTGGTTTTGGTGTATGACCATGAGTCCATCACCGAAACTTAAAGCGGCCCTCGAATCCATTCAACCAAGAGCATCAATCCCATCCAATGTGTTGTCCCCATCCAATCTTCCAATCGCATTCACCCCAATCATCCATAACCAATAGCAAGGAAAATACACATACCAGTGCCAGCTCTACTCCTAACCATCAACGCATAAGCACCACTTCCCACCAATGTAATAGCGACAAAAGGCCAGATCTTCAATGGACTTTTACTAGGTCCTCCGGTTGAGTAACCTCTTGTAGATTTGGCATTCGCATGGAACTGAGGACGGAAGCTGCGTGTTCGTGGGAGAGATTGAAAGGGCGAAGATTGCTGAAGAAATCGACGCGAGAATCGGGGGAGTGGTTGTGCCATTTTGGTGGTGTGGAGTGTGGTATGGTGGAAAAGAAGATGGAGATATTTTGCTTTGATTTATGATTTACATGTGCATGAGGAAGCTTAGCTTTGGAGATGGGAATTTTGGGCGAGGCTCGCTAGGGGTTTTTTTGCTGGGGTCTGGCTGGCAGTGACGACCGTGCAGGGAAATTTGGTAACTTCATTTCCTCCCCCCTTTCTTTCTATCTTTCCATATATACCTACGAGTACATACCTGCGATATGATATACATAGATAAGTGTTTTCTAGGTCGATTGAATGCAACAATATACTACGAACTGGCACATTCATGACTGATGGCATCATCGTAAAGGTAGATAGCAATAGGTTCATGTTTTATTTCCACGACAAGGAAGCTACAGACTATGTATGCTACGTGGATAGCAGATTGGACAGCGGAAATGATGAGTGATCAGAAGACCTCACAGTACTTACGATGTTGTTTGATGGGATATGAATTCTCTAAACCTCGAGAGACGAGAGAATGGTTGCAGCGGATGAGAGCTGTGGTGGTCTTGAAGGCAAAGCGATTGACTTGAGCGGACTGGAGACTACCTAGGTATCTAGGTAAGGCAAATTAAATATGTACAGATATGCTTATGAATTATCTTAGGTAGCTATCAATGTTCATGGAGAATAGTACTTCGGCATCTATTGTCTTCGATTTAGTGTGAATCCTTTGGCATATCTAGATTAATTGCTGGCATTTGTTTGGAACGATGGTATGTTGCGGATGCGTTTGGTCGAGGTTATGATGTGAGTAGGTACATAGTGCCCGTTTGAAAGTTGTGGGTTGCTTCAGCCTATCATATTTTGACTTCAGAGAGCTCCAAGTAGAGTACCGCTGTGTGTATCTGAAACGGATATGCATGGAAATTGTGGGCGATCGTCGGGACTTGGAAGATCCTCAGACGCCAAGCTGGGAAAAAAATCACCTCAATTATGGGACTGCAAAAAGTGAAATCGGAGCCACATCAAATGAAGTTCGCAATAAATGGAAAGATTATTTTATTAATTTGTAGTATTCACAACTCAGAAAATCGACGCAGTCTTGTTGATTTAATATGTTTGCAATGAAGTATCATATGTACAAGAGAGAAGTCGATGTCAAAGCATCATCCACATCCTCTGCAAAAATCCAGCAGCTCCGTAATTGAACCAAATCAGCCATCCAACTTGCGTCACAAGTGTAGATCACACATCAGGGTATCTCGTCGCTGGGTCACGAAAGAAAAGGGTATGTCGTTAGGTCAAATTATCGAAAGAAGTTGAAGACGCCATCGTTGATGATCCGGACGCCTTTCGATGCTCGATGAAGAAATTTAGATGAGCTAATTTATGAATTAGTTTCGAGATAGAGATGAGGGATTGTAAATGGAAAACGTACAAGAGCAACGGCACCAGCAACAACCATTCCGAAAGCGGAAACTTGGATGTGGCCAGCAGCACCAGTAGCGTAAGCAATTGGGGAGCTGGTTCCAGATGGGGAGGTAACGACACCAGAGGAGGCAGTTGGGGCAGCAACACCGCTAGGGGCAGCAACACCAGATGGGTTGGAGCCGGAGGTGAGGCCGGAAGATTCACCGGAGGAAGATCCAGAGGAAGCACCAGCGGTGGCAGAAGAGCCGGAGAGACCAGTGGAGCTTGGGCAAGCGTAGACGGTGACAGTCCTATGGATATCGTTAGCATTGGGGGTTCGATCTAAATTTTCGAAGTTGAAAGAACTTACTCAGTGGCAACTGCGACAGAGGCCATGGCGGCAACGGTAAGGGCGAGGATGTTGAACTGCATTTTGATAGATTGAAGTTTTTTGGTTTGGGTTTTGGTTTGGAGAAAGTGTTTGGATTTTGAAGAGGTTGATTGTTTTTTTTTAAATGAGTGTGTGATTACTATAGTGTAAATGAGTGTAACTGATCGATGGATACAGAAAAAAAGAAAAAGGTGAACTGCAGACGAACGGCAGCGTCATATATACACGCGTCTAATTGTCAGGTATAAAGGCCATCAAAGGTGATATCCCGGGTTATTCCCCCCTTTGATAACGAATCCCCGGTCGACCCACCAAGTGAATCTCCCCGACCCACCAAGCGGAGATTGACAACTTCTACCGTCTCCAATTCTCATTTCTTCCACAATTTGAATGAGGAAATGGGAAGACTGCGAGACTGCACGGGAATGAGGCGATTCGTTGATGTGATTGGGGCTGCAATCTATCGTGGTTCCATGGCAAATCTCCCTCTTGTTCCTGTTCCTGTCGTACAACCCCATGGGCCCTTGCTGTCGAGTCTGGATTCACTTTCAACTAACCAATAGGTTACTACTTTTTTTGTACTTGGCGATAGGCAGATTGAACCTTTTAGGGTCGATATCGTCTGTGATATGATTGTATGTAACACTGGTATGGCGGCATGGATACATCGCTTGTGGCAGAAAATTGTATGGTTTACACGTTTTGGCACGATGTCCGCATAGAAATTATAACTTCATCTAATCGTCGAAGAATCGAAGCTCCACTCAGTCCTGTCAAGGTTGGAGCATGCAGGGAATCCATACCTTTGTTTGTTTTCCAGATTCTCATTAGCATCATGAAATTGATGAAGCCAAATAGAATCTATCATTGGTGAATTCTAGACAGCGATTTGAGAAATTGGAAAAACGTCATTTGTAGCTTGAATTGGCCAAAAGATGAACAACTGATAACAATGTCCACGGGTATCTATACATAGATGCTGCCGTGCTATTAAAAACATACCTAATCAATACAACAGTAGCCGTTAATAGATTCACTAGTCACAATCTCTCGTTCATCATACGAATCCGTCGCACAGCATGAAGAAAACTCATAAAGGCCACGAACGAGCGTGACGAAGAGCGAATTCTAAAATGTTCAAATATTGATATTCCAGAAATCTAGACAAATCACAATTGACGGGCGGACGGGTTCTTGCAGGGCTATCGGTGGTATTCCATGCGGGCCCCTGCAGCAGCTTAAGATTAAACCCCATGTTGTTTCTCAAATGGTTCCTGGATCATGGTAGTTAGTTCACCGATGTGTTCATGACAATCGCGATAACATAGCTGGGCAGTGGGCACGGCATGGCAGTGTGGGAGTGAACGTTGTTTCTCCCCCAGCCAAGCAATCTCTTGGACGTTTGGAATGATACGTTCTGCGGAAGGATCAATTAGATACCGTAGGATTGCTAGGAGTACGAAGTACTATCATCAAGATTCAATCCATTGATACCTAGGTAAACAACCAATGATATCCCTCCCACACGTTCGAGGCTCTGGGGATCGACATCTCATTAGGGCTTTTATGGAATTTATTAATTGTTTGGCGGTTTTGCCCTCGTCTGTCAATTTATTTTTATATGAAATATCCAGGTATATGTACCTAGTAGGTTATCCTCAAATCAATCATGATTCATTAGGACGGGCCTTGACCGCTACGGTTACTATACACGGACGGACCAGATGCAATATCTACGAGATGACTTTTTCATCATGAAGTTTCAAGGTCAAACTCATGTTTATTGTTTCGAGCGATTGACAACACAATCATGGATTGCGTTAATTTTGTTTATCAGCAATCATGGAGGTTTAGACGTTGGTTGAAATGAAGCTTTCGCGTCAGGTCTTAGATGTGCACTGTGCAGGTGACGGAAGTTTTGCATCGCTTATCCTATCAGGTGTCTCAGTGGTGGTGTCGAGAATCAAGATGAAGGAGTGTGGATTCAGTGGATTCAGTGGATGTGTCTTAAAGGGGTAGGTAAGCAGTGAAATCATCTGAAACGAAATGGCCAGATGGTGATCAGAGTGTAGATCGAGGGTTCTCGATTGTTAATATCACTTAATGACAGGCTGCCTGCAAGTTTAATCGACCAGATAGAAAGTGGGAGTTTTCATATATGAAATTGAATAAAAATGATAGAATGGTCTGCTAGACATCGCTTCTGTTTAATTCATTTCGCCCAAATACTTAACAGGATGCCAGTGGCAACTATTAAACAAACCTTAAATTGATCTTTTGAACTCAAGCTGGGTCAAAATCAAAGCCCAAACAGATTTGTGGTAGAATGAAAGCTGTAAAGGTTGGCTTTCAAATCTGGTACTGTTCTTTATTGGCATTTTATTAGGTAGCATTAAGATGGAGATGCATTCAAGTCAGGTATTCACACTCAAAATCACACTCAAAATCACACTCAAAATCACACTCAAAATCACACTCAAAATCACACTCAAAATCACACTCAAAATCACACTCAAAATCACACTCAAATTTCACAAGGCTATGGATAGACAAATTATCTGGATATCAAGTGCTCTTTTTTTGTTATTTTTTTTATGTAAGTACATAGGATTAGTGCTAGCAAACAAAGAAAAATAAAGAGCAAGTCAAACTCGTAGCAAAGTATCATGAATTTCCTCCTACAAGCAAATCTTCCATTATCACCTCCAGTTCCTTTCCCTTTCCTCCCTTAAAACACCATAGTTAATCCATCGCTAAGAAAATGCCAGTGCCAAAATACTCCTCGCCCCTTCCATCCGTTAATGCATTCGTAATATCGTAGAAGTGATCAGATAAACCGAGAGAAGTGATTGATTTACTGAATGGTGATCTTGCGTCCTTCTTGCTTCTTAGCCTTTGGAACGATGATGCTAAGAATACCGTTCTTCATGCTAGCCTGAACTGCATCTTGGTTGACGCGAACTGGGAAGCTGAAAGATCGAGAGAATTCACCGATGCTACGCTCAGAAACCCAGAATTTGTGATCAGGTTCCTTGGCCTTTCTCTCCTTGCTGGCCTTGGTAACTTGAGTGTTGGCGTCATTGCTTGCTGAAGTTGATTCATCTTCATCTTCGACGGTTGGTTGGTGAACTTTGTCTTTGTGTTCGGCTTCACCACCTTCAGTAATGGCGCCAGACATGGGTGCATCTTCGACGAAACCAGCTGGTGGAGTACCGGAAGTGTAAGAGCGCTCGGTACGACCACGGATGGTGAGGGTTTGGTCATCGACGAATTCGATTTCGACATCCTTCTGCTCGATACCTGGAAGTTCACCGTGGAGTTCATAGATTTCACCGGCTTCCTTGACATCGAATTTGGGGGTGAAGGTCTTCATGACATTGCTGCGGTGGTGACGAGAGTTATTGTCGTTGCGGCCACTGCTGTATTGGTCAAAGTCGTCAAGAAGACGGAAGAGAGGATGGAAGGAGGAAGCCTCGTTTGTGATGTAGTGTCGTGGGAAGAAAGACATTTTGCGCGTGGTTGTTTGTGGTTTGAGAATTCGTTTGATAGTTGTTGCGACTGGAAGTCTTGAAGTTGTTCGATAACAAGATTGCATGAAACTGTATTGAAGATTGTTGTATTGATGAGGAAAAAAAAAGAGGTTATTCAGAGATTGAGCCTACCTTTATATATTGAATTTGATGGACTCCTGGACTTTCTAGCAATTACTAGAATTTACGATATTGATGTAATGATCAATATTCAATTGAACACCAGCACTTTCTAGAATGACGACTACCATGTTTGAGAGCAAATAGAATTACAAAGAATAGATGCGGGGTTTGGAAATCAGGAGACATCAGGCCATTGAAGCAAGAAGCAATCACTGGAAAATGCTAGAAGGCGTTGGAAACTTGCTAGAATTGGTGAGAACATTCTATGAATGGTAATTATGAGAACCATCTGACATGATGACAAAACTCAAATTCGGCGAATCAATTAATTCAATAGATATCTTCATACTCAATGTCTTGGTGTTGTTGGATCAAGAGATGAGGGGTAGTAGGTAGTTGTCCTAGGTGGGGGTGGGTAGTCGTCGAGGTGCTTTTTGTGGATGCTTAGTAACCAGGGCTACAACTGGGGGTGCACATCGCTGTAAAAATGGCACGTGAATGGCTAAGGTTAGTAAATAGGTAGCTAGTTCCAAATGGTCACGTGGCAGTGTTGGCAATTTTGTAGCAAATTCTCCCACCATACGCATTACCAGTTTCGGAAAGCCATTAATAATTGTTTGCTAAGGTTTCTAGTGTAACACTCCGAAATTGAAGAGAAATTTAAGTTACTAAGACAGTATTGTAACATTGAGGATCATTATAAGGCCTGCTATGTAGGTATTTCTCTCGGTTTGCGACTTCTATTCGAGTTGTAGTAAACTCTCTCTATCTGTAATCATGTGCTCATCACCTGCCTTCGAGGTATAGACCTCTTCCTTCAGGGAAGTGACTCTGTACAAATTTCCTATTGTATTTGGCAAGTTCGATCAAGTGGTTAATAAATCAAGTCACCATGATTACACTGTTCAACTTTTGCTTGTGGTTTCTCCCGCTCGACTTTTCAATCCACGAATCTCATTCTCATACCCTCTGGTTAAGATTCTAATCGTCTATCACCCAAAAGAAGAACACCAAACATCATGAAGCCCGATCCGCTTCCGGTTCTTCGTACGACACACCCGAGGGATGAAAGATTTACTCATTTCATCTTCGACTTCGATTGTACAATTACCATGAAGGACACTAGCCAGCTCATTGCAGACACTGCTATTGCCTATCATCTTGTCGAAGCGAAAGATTTCACTCAAGTGTGGCAAGAAATCGTTACTGCGTATGACACTGAGTATAGTGCTCACATTGAGGGATACGAGCCAAAATGGGATACATTGGAGGGGATAATTGAGCGTCAAAGAAGCCAGAAGGAACTCGAGATTAGAAGCATCAACCGCATCAGTAGTTCAGGTATATTTGCAGGCATATCCAAAAGAGAATGGGAAGCTGCTGGTGGGCGTGCTGTCTTGGAAGGAAAATTGGCGATCAGAGAAGGCTTTAGGGAAATCATAGAAGAAATTGAGAGACGAAATGGTTTTTGGGGTGTCGTCTCAGTTAGTTTCTCAAAAGACTTTATAAGGGGCGCTTTGGAGCAGTATTTGGGATATCTTATCGAAGCACCAATCGTAGCGAATTCTCCAGACGAAGCAGGAATCTTGAGGGGTCCTGAATGGGGTTGGGAGGCTGGACTCAACACTACTCAAGCTAACTGCCCGGATTGCGATTTCGGTCCCTTTCCCAGTACCCAACTTCTCATTAATCACTTCCTACACGTTCATAATCGAGAGTTTATGACACCATTAACTACATCGGACACGAAAGCAAACGCAATGCACAGATTGCTTAAGCATTGGAACCTCGACACCGATGATCAAGCGGCCTATTATGGCGATTCTGCAACAGACATTGAATGCCTCTTTGACCCTTGTGTGAAAGGTATTCTTGTAGGGGATGGAGGCGGTCCGATTCTGGCGATGCTTGATTCTCCCAACGGACCTGATTTTATGCTGGTTGAATCATATACTACAGACTTTGAGAATGTTATTGCTCGTCAACCCGGTCAATCCTAGACGAAGATATATGCAATTGCAACGATACTCTCTATTCGGCTGGACGATTCGAGCCCCGTCAGCACAGTCTTTACTTTTGAACATTTTCATGGTCCCACCTTCGGAAACAAATTCAACAACATTAATTCAACACCGCTCCGAGAGTCTCGGCTCAATAGAGCTTTGCCTGCCCGAAATCGAGACCCGTGCCATTATAAATTATCGAGCATCGCTTTGCAGTGCTCCAAGAATATATTAGTAGTCCTCGAGTCAACATATATTACTAGTCTAGTCAAAAGAAAATACAAATCTTAACAGAAAAGTGTGTGCTCGTCATATGTATGTTCCGTTCCGACTTGACCTGCGTCTTTTCACTGAAGATTTTGTTGTATGTGTATATGGTTCCGAGTTGCAAATATTTAATCAAACAACTACATGCATACTCATTTGGACGTCGTGGCAAAGTTCATGAATTTCGAGTAACACCTGGTCTCGTAAAGGCAATTGCTCGAGGATGTACATGCCTTGCTAGTAATACAAATCCGCATCACCGCTCTGTATAAGAGCATTTTAATCCTTCTTCAATGGCTTATAAATCTCCTCAATGCCCTCTTTCGTAATGATCAACATCTGTAAACCATCACCAACCTCAATATGTCTCTCCACCGCACTATCAAATGCATCCTTAACCAAATCCTCCACTTCATTTCTAGCCAATGGAATCTTTTCTCTTTCCGCCAACGCATGTCCTTCTCCACTACCTGGGATATATTGATTTTTGAAGTTGACCTGGTTGTCCAAGAAAGGCATGATCAGACTGGCTGCAGCACCTGCGGCTCTGCACTGTTCTCTCTCATAACTTCCAACAGGATCATAACTGTAAACTGCTCCCTTTCCCTCCTCATCCAAACCTCCGAGAATCGCGGTAACGTAGTATGGGAAGAATCGCTTGCTGTATAAAATAGTTGCTAATCGCTGAGCGCATGCTTTAACATTCATAGGCTTGCCGTGTTGGTAGCGGTACATCTTGACGATTGCATCGAGGCGTTCCTTGAGTGCTTCTCCATCTGCGGCAAATCCTACGACGGAGAGAACGAGAGTAGCATCATCTTGAGCAGCGGTTGTGCCACCGATCTTGAAGACTTTGGGTTGGTATCTTGTGTTAATGTTATATCCGGATGTGGAACGGGTGTCGCCGGCGACGATGGTGAAGTCGGAACCTGAGATTGCTAGAGTAGAACCACCGTTATCGGTGTATCTGAAAATGATGTTAGTTTTAATACCAGTAGAGTCTCCCTAAAATACATACGGGTAGAAACCATGATGTTGTGTGAAACCATCAGCTTGCTTGGTTGGAGCTTGATTGAAGGAGTAATTTGGACCATTCATCAATGGGTTTTGACTGAACATGGACATCTTGATTATCGTATTTGGGAATCTTTGGAGTTGAAATGCGGAGAGGTATTTGGGAGACTTTGGTAAATATTGTGGAGGTTTGAGATTTGAGGTTCAAAGGTATCACTCTAGATGTCGCGTCGACCTTCAGCCTGGTGATAACTAGCGCCAATCTTTCTGACAGGGGTAGCTACAACGGAACAACTTTATTACATCCCTAGAAATTAAAGATACTGTAACAACTTATTATTCGCGATAATTACCTAGGTGCCAGTAAACATGACTGAATAGCTGATTGCTATTTACAAATAAAAATGTCTAGGTATGTGTAATATATTGTTTGATTATTTTTTGGAGATCTACAAACACTAAACTCTTATCTAAAGTCTCCCAAGAAGCATACGGCGAAATGCCCTGGCTAAAATCGCTGAACTCTCTGCGACGTCATCAACTGGAAATTTTGAGGGTTCTGATATTGAGAGGCTCTGTCGTGTTTCTCCCGGCAACAATAAGTTATCTGGGCGTGTGAATGGAATCAACAATGATTCGTCGAGCTCGTTGGCGGGCTCTCCTATGGTACGAAAAGGGGAAGATCTCCTTATCTACAGGATACTAATGCCGAGAGCAGAACATTAGGGAATTTGAAGTACTTCTGGCTTTATGCAAAGCAGCTCCTCTGATCGATAATACATACAGCGCGGAGAAGCTTACCAGTCAGTTGAGCCCATACGTTCTTGAGGCGCATACACAATTGTTTGTGCAATCGCCCCTTTTTCGCGCGATTGAACCATCACCCGTCGAGGCACTGAGCTATAACCTCACCACTGCCCTTCTCTCTATCGGTATCAAACATGGCCACCTACAAAAGCTCATCTCCGAAAAGTTATCGATATACCTAGACAACTGTGTACATGCCAGCGAAACTGCTACAGAAAATCGAGGAGTTAGCTCCGAGTATGCCACAGAGATTGAGGAGGCAATCCACGTTGCAACTGTAACCATATCTCTTTTGGGATTCTTAGATGCAGTAGCTTCTTTGGTCAATTTTTGGAGCGCAAAGGAGAGATTGGACTTGTGTGAACGTGCCAAGGCTATTTTGTCAGAAGGATTTTTGGTGGCAGTAGAGACCGCTTTCTCGACTATTCGTAATACCCATCTCCAGAGCAGTCATGTAAGAGAGTGGAAGAGATATGTTCGCCATTATGCAGCTATTGGCCGCCCATTGGGTGCTATGCTTCTACAACGGAGTTTTATGTGGCTGCTCGTTGCAGGGTCATCGCTTCTACTAGTTGATGTCGAGAACCTTAGAGACAAAGATGTTTTGAGCGTATTAATGTCACGTCTTGAGGACTCGAGACCCAACACTCCTCGTAATGAGGAAGTTGATCCTGAGACGGTCAACACGTTGGCAAACATTGCCTCGAATGAAATAAGTCTTCTCGAAGATGGTGCGGATTACCTCCGTTTGGGTTCTGCTTGGCAGCAAAGACTTGCATTTTCCGTCAAAGCAAGTGCTTTAACTACCTATATGAACTGCGCAATGTTGAGTGTAAGTGACGATGAAGTTGAACCTGAAACATTGATGTCCTGGCTTGAAGATACTTTGGCGGACCCTGTGCAAATGGCCGATGATACATTGGCCAATGTTGTCCTTCGATCGATGGCCTTGGTCTCCAAACTCGCCCCTCAATTGGCTCCAGAAGTCAGCCGCCTTCTCCCACGATTCATCGTCCAGGGCAATCCGCAAGGGAATACAAACGCGGTCGCCTCTGCCTGTCTCGCATACGTTCTGAATAATCTGTCCCAAGATGCCATCATAACTACCCTTTATACGTTAGGAAATGTTCTCAACTCTGGTGCAAGCCATCCAGAAAAACATACTTCTGTGCCCAATGGAGATTTGGCTTTGGATGGAGCTGCACAGTCAACTCTTTATGGAAAGAATCCTAATGGAAGTTCTATATCCTTGGAGATCTTCACAGAAGAGGAGACATCTACTGTATATGGCAACGTCGTACAAGCTATATGTGCTATTGCTCAGAATTGCCAAGACTCTAAAATTATTGCATTGGCTCAATCTATGCTTCTGCAAAAGATCGACAAAATCAACCAACTAATCGATGCTCGTATTATCACGGCAGCAGCAGAATTATCATTACATGGAGGGCCATTGGAATTTCGATCGTTACTCAAACTTTATAGCAAAATCACTCATCTGGGTGTTATGAAAAATAATGAAATTATACTTCATGCTGTAAGCTCAATATAAGAACTTCAAAAGCTTCACCAACTAATTTGATCTAGGTGATGAAAGGTCGAAACCTCCTATCTTCTCGTCTGCAAAAAGACACTCCTTTGTATGACATATATTTTGAGAACTTACTAGAGGATATCATTAGCAGAGGCGATGTCCACCAAGGGCAGAACACACGCGAAGGCGACGTAGAAGCTGCAGCCAAAGAGATTGCGCAACTATTGCAGCCCTTGGCAATCTTTTTTTCAACTAATAATATGGTTTCCAACAATGACCTTAGCGAGGAGATGTCATCTTTAGTACGGGATGCTTGGTTCAACATTGTTGTCCATGGCTTTACTACCAACACTGAGCGTGGTCAGCTGCATTTGAAAGAATTACGTATCTTGGCGATCCATTCGAAACCTCTTGTTGCCGAGCAGCGAGGTGAGCAGGTGGAGAGTGATATTGAATTGAATACAGTATTGCGTCGAGGAATCAGTCAAGATCACGAAACTACACAGAAAAAACGACTCACTGCCCTTCTTCCTAGTAAAGCTAGAGAAATCGGTGCCCTTAGTTATCGTAAAGTCATCTTCCTTCAGGCTGCCTATTTGGTTGAAACGCTACGGGCTGATGCAGGCGATTGCAGTAAAGCGTTGACCTACTTCCTTGAGCCTAGCATGCGTAGAGGTGAAATGAGCAGCACGATGGAAAGTGTCACAGCTGCTGTTATGGACACTTATTTACGCAAATCTTTGACAGGCCTAAACCCAACCTTTTCAGCTCCGTACGTTGCTAAACAATTGGCTTCAATATTTACTGGTTGTTGCTATCGAATCGAAAGGGTCCAGCAAGTTGCTATGAACTGCGCAGACAGGATAATTCGAGATGTGCCATCTGCTCTGTGTCAAAAATCCTCTTTGTTTGCACTTCTTGAGCTTTTGTCACTCCTGTGGGTAAGTTGTTTAGAAGCTGAAACCGATGAGTATGGGTTGAGATCTTCCTTTACTTCCGCCAAAGGACATATAACTATCGAATTGTCTGATGATTATGGTCTCCGTCGTCGCACCCTTGATGCTTTATACCGGAAGGCTAAAGGCTGGGTCACAGCAGTGATTAATATTGCTCCTGCAAATGTAAAGGGTTTACTACAGACGTACCTCTCAGAATATGATGATGAAGGAGCTTATGGTCACATCTCCCTCGGACGGTCATTCGCTTCCGAGATGGGTGCAGTCATTCCAAGTATGGACCAGAGGCTTGAGGCAATCGATCGCCACGGGGAGTGCAATATCAATACGGCCTCTGATTTCATTGCTCAATATACTACAAGGCAAGAGTACCGATATGCAGAAACTCTTCCTGATCACAACGCCGAATGGCTACGCTCCATGCATCTCGACGAACATAGACCCTCGATCACATCGAAGTCTGACAAGGATTGTAACGATGCAGTATCACTTCTATCCAAACTTGAAGCACAAATTCACGCAAAGAAACACATAGCAATTAACGAGATCCGCGATGTGCTGAGAAGAGCTGCTGCTTTGCTTTGCCGAAGTGACAAAGATGAATGTGCTATTATCCGCTATCTTGTTTCCATACCTTTCGCTATTTTTACCAAGCAGTCAATTAAACTTGGGGGCTCTTTGTGGTTTGGCGTTATTAACGAAAATCCCAGCATGGAACCTAGAATTCTGATGGAAATCGCTCAACAATGGGAATTGACCTCACATCGTAAAATTGGAATTTTCAATGGCATGTTCATGTAAGTACATTCGAATATTTATTTTATTGCAAACTAACGGCCGATAGCCATCAAGATCCTTTCTATATAAAGGAGGAGTTCGCACCTAGCGATAGGAAAGTACTGGCCAAAAAGCAACAGGCTGTCAACAATATGCTTGCTCCCCACACGCGACTTCTACAACTCCTCAGTAGTCATTTCAACGCGACTCGCCTTGGCAGCCCACATACCGAGAAGACATTTTTGAGAATCCTGGAAATCACACTGGATAGCCTTAAACACTCCACGGGGCATCCGCTTGCTCGAGAAATAAGATTTCAGATCGTCCTCTTCGGCTTAAGAGTCCTGAGACACACCACTACCCTCGATCTCCCCTCGAAATGTAGATTGAAGGACAAGATTCTCTCTGCTGCCCTTAGTTGGTTCACATTTGCCCCTCGCTGGTCATTTGGTGGCAATCGTCTGCAATTGAAAGCCGAAACTCGCTTGTTGAATGATGTCGTTCTGGCTTTTAAAAGCGTAACCATGACAGGCTCCAAGCCCACAGCTATGCTTCAATTGATGCAAGCAAAGGAGGAGCTTCTCCATATATTAATAGAGAGTGAACAGATAAGATTGAATGTTTGGCTCGATCCTTTACGTCAAGGTCGTGATATCCAGGTTCCCGCTCCTGTTAAAGTTCCTAACGATGCAGCACTACTTCCTCTGGTGAAAACCGCCTGGAACGAAAGTCCATCTTTGGCGATTCAACTTGTATCTAGATTTCCCTCGGCGAGATTACACCAGGACATTCGCTTGCTTTTGCTTCAATTTCCTGACAAAGCAATATCGGAGCCTGAAGCAGTACACATATTACTTGGCGACACTTTGCCATCTGATGTTGCATTCCAAATGAAGGTACGTGATTTGAAAGAACTGCTTATTAACAGGCTGACAAAATTAGTACCTTTTATACTGGGCTCCTGTCAACCCGATATCTGCTGTTACATATTTCTTACCGTCATACCGAAACCATCCCTTCATCGTTCAGTATGCTATGCGGGCGTTGGAGAGTCATTCTGTTGATGTCACATTCTTTTACGTGCCACAGATAGTCCAAACCTTGCGCTATGATGACCTTGGATATGTTGAGAGATATATTGTCGAAACTGCAAAGTTCTCGCAACTTTTTGCACATCAAATTATCTGGAACATGAAAGCCAATGCTTTCAAAGATGAAGATTCACAAATTGTAAGTGGTGCGCATATTTTTAAAGTATTAAACTAACGAGTCCAGCCTGATGTTGTCAAACCTACACTCGACAAAGTTACAAATCGCATGATAGAATCCTTCTCGGGTGTTGACAAAGCCTTCTATGAGCGTGAATTCACATTTTTTGACGAAGTCACTAGCATTTCAGGAAAGCTGAAGCCATACATCAAAAGACCCAAGCCAGAGAAGAAGCAGAAAATTGAAGAAGAATTGCGCAAGATCAAGGTGGAGATTGGAGTATATCTCCCTAGTAACCCTGATGGTGTGGTAATTGGCATCGATCGACAATCTGGAAAGCCCCTGCAAAGTCATGCCAAAGCACCATATATGGCAACTTTCCGCATCAAGAAAAGTATAGGTGCAGACATGGAAGGCACTGATGATATGCTTGAAGAAACCAATAAAAGCGGAGACACCCCAATGGATAATTCGATTGAGATTTGGCAATCAGCAATTTTCAAAGTTGGTGATGATTGTCGTCAAGACGTTCTCGCTCTCCAAATGATCGCTGCGTTCCGTGGAATCTTCAACAACGTTGGTCTCGATGTTTACGTCTTCCCGTATCGTGTTACTGCGACCGCACCTGGTTGTGGTGTTATTGATGTTTTGCCAAACTCGATCTCGCGTGATATTCTGGGAAGAGAAGCCGTGAATGGTCTATATGATTATTTCATATCGAAATACGGAAACGAGGACTCTCTTAGGTTTCAAGAAGCGCGCGCCAACTTTGTCAAAAGTATGGCAGCCTACTCGGTCATCTCTTTCTTATTACAATTCAAGGATCGACACAATGGTAACATTATGATTGACGACGCTGGTCACATTCTACACATTGATTTTGGTTTTTGCTTTGACATTGCCCCTGGAGGTGTCAAATTTGAAAGAGCACCATTCAAACTTACAACGGAGATGGTGGCTGTGATGGGAGGAAGTACTGAACATCAGGCATTTAAATGGTTCGAGGAATTATGCGTGAAGGCTTACTTGGCTTCTCGTCCTTACACAGAGAAGCTGTCGCAGCTCGTTATGCTTATGATGGACTCTGGTCTTCCTTGCTTCAAGCCCGAGTCTATTCAACATTTCAGGGATAGATTTGTGTTGGAAAAGACGGAGGCTGAGGCTGCGGTATTCATGAGAGGCCTGGTAAAGAGGAGTTATGGAAGTTATTCGACTGGAGTCTATGATCAGTTCCAGCTTCTGACTAATGGAATTCCGTACTAGAAACATCACTGGGTTCTAGAGGCAAGAATGTTAGATTTGAACCGAATAGGTAGTGAGAGATGTAGTGTCATGGGGCTCGGGATACTATATTAGTTTGACTAATCACGGAAGGAACCAATCGTTGGCCGTTATTGTAGTGATTTTGATATTGTAAATAGACAGTCTTTTGAAAGCAGTGGGATATTGCATGGGATAGCAACTCTTAATTCTTCTTCTATAAACTTTGGGTATATAATAATACTTTATTTTTCTTGCACAGCAAACATAATGCTTCAGAATCTCAATCATATCTTCCCCACCAGTTTTGCAAATGCGATTGCGATTGCGATTTACGGTGCCGTTCCGCTCCCCTGTCATATCGCTGACGTAGTGTCATTCAAACCTCCAACCAAATTATATATATATATATATATATTTAAATTCGCCGAGCTTTACACAACATCTACAGACATCAATATAATATCAATTTCAAATAGACCCCTCCAAAATGTCAACCCTAGCCCCCGAAGCCCTGAATGGCTTTTCCAATGCCTCAGACTACGACAAACATCGTCCAAGCTACCCACCCGAAGCAGTCTCTAAACTCCTGAAGAATCTGGGAGTGGAAAATGTGGAAGGAGCTAGAATTGTAGATGTAGGAGCTGGGACGGGAAAATTTACTACTTTGTTGGCGGAGAGGAAGGAAGGATTTGCAATTAGGTGTGTGGAGCCGCATGATGAGATGAAGGAGGTTTTGAGGGGGAAGTTTGGCAAGGGGAATGAGGGGGCGTGGGAAGGGAGTGTGGAGATTGTTGGGGGAAGTGCACAGAACATGGAGATTGAGGAGGGCTGGGCTGATGCGGTTATTGCTTCGCAGGTGAGTTGCTTCGTGAATTAGGAACATGGGTGAAATGAGAGATCGTTTGCTAATTCAGGTTTCTGGTAGTCCTGGCATTGGTGAGTGATGGGGATGAAGTCGTGAGAGAACGAAATTGTAGACTGATTTGCCGTTTAAGGTTTGCTACAAAGGAGTCTTTGAAAGAGATTCATAGAGCTTTGCGACCTGGAGGAGTATTTGGAATGATCGTAAGAAGTCTTGATGCATGAAGGCGTAGGCTGAGATGCTAACATGTCTGTTGTAGTGGAACATAGAAGATTGTATGTTATAACATTGCGTCTTTCCACTTACTACTAATCACAAAATATGCAGATAACTCACCAAGAGACGGTCGAACAACAGCCACACAATGGGAACAGGTCCTAAAAGACATTATTGAAAGTAGTGAAGATGAGCTTCCACGTTTCCGTCATGGGAAATGGAAACAAGTATTTGAGGATCAATTAGATTCCACGCCATTGCAAACCTTGAAAGATACATTTACGCAGGATTTACCGCAGTTCTCACTACCGCTTGGAGAAGATCATGTTGAGTGGACGGTATGGTTGAGTGATGAGGCTATTTGGAATAGGTTCGGGACTTTGAGTGCTATAGCGGTGATGGAGCCTGAAAAGAAAGAACAAGTGAAGCAGAAGGTTCTCGGATCGTTGAAGGGAATGGATGCTGAGCGTAATGAGAATGGTGAGGTTGCGTTGCATGGTAAGACTTATTTCTTCTGGACCTCAAGGGTTTGAATGTCTAGTGTAGATAGATGGCCTTAGATAGCTTTAGAAGCTGCTCCATTGTTGTTTCCGCGAATTTCAAGTATCGGCACACCTACTTATAAGGCTGCACATAATCCCGCCAGTTTCTGCTACCTTGTCGCATCCCATCGTCGTCTTTTGGATATCATGAATTTCGTAAAAGGATCCTTCCTGTATAGCACTCCATAACTCCCACCCAATGCTTTTCCACTATTGTGCCAATTAAGCAGATTCATCGGCCGATATGTACATAACTAAGAGACACACAGAATTAGCTGCTGATATCGAATGTCGTTCAGGAAGAATCCTCACCATTGTTGCCCCGCACAAAAGCATCACCATGAACTGTCTTCTTCTTTCCATGAACCCATTCCTCGCATTTTTCTAATGCGATATTCATATATCCATCCACGGACTGTAATTCTCCTGCAAAAATGTAAGTTTTAGACAGGAACCGGAGGTATGGGCAACTAGCTAACCTTTGAAGACGAGAGAATTATTGAGCTTTACAATGACTTTTGAGCCAATAATTTCTGACAGGAAGGATGAAGGATCCTTGCCTTCACCTTGTTGTAATGCGCCGTTCTCCATATCGTTCTTCGAAATACCAATATGACTTTGCTAGAATCTTATCGTTGATGGAGGAGACAATTTTGAATTTCACAGTTCTACACAAACAATGGCAGTAAATGAAGCATCGGTATCGCTACCGGTACTTTTAGCGCATGCAGCCTCGCAACGGCAACCCTCCAAAATTTCCCCGTATTTTCGTACATCTCGACCTCAATTTCATGTGCACTCAATCAGGATAATCACAAAAATCGCACAAATAATAACTGAATATGGCAGACTTCGATACTGGTGCATCGGCGCCTCCAGCCAAGAAAAAGTTCTCTCTTTTTAAAAAGAAGTTGACCACAGCGCAAGCTCCAGAGCTTAAACCCGGGATGGACCACACAGATGCTTTTAGTCGCGCAAAAGATCTGTTTCCACTACATGCTAGGGAGAGGGAGATTAAGAGGGAAAAGAAGGTCGCGAGCTTAGAGAGAAAGCGTTCATCGCAGAGCAGGGAGAAATCATCTTCGAGTCCGAGAGTGGAAAAGAGAAGGAAGTTTTCTGATGAGGATGTGCGTGGGAAGGTGGATTTGGGTAGTGAGACAGAAGATGAGGAACCGGCTAGGTATTTATTTCATGGATACGCAGATATGGTATTGTATGTATGCTGATGGGCTTAGGGAATCTTCAATATCTACACCTGATAGTCGCAAGTCGCAAACAAGATCCCCGCAGAAAAGGCGTCGTTCGCCGGGGGGTCTGATGGGCCGTTTTGCAAAAGATATACATAGTAGAAATAGGGAGAGCGTAGAACAGAAAGTTATTGCAAAGGGTTATATATCTTTGAGCGATAGCGATAGTGACGATGCCGCGCCTGTTACACAGCGAATCAGCAGAAGTTCCTCTCCTGTTGTAACATCGGCTGAACCAATTCCTATCATTGATGACGATGACGATGATGCATTCTCAGAGGAGGAATTTCCGGAATTATTGGCAAAGGCACGAGAAAACAAGAGACTTGCGGATCTAGCCCAACAGAGGAGTAATGCCGAATGGGCAAATAAAAATCATGAACCGGACAGAAATGCAGTCGACGACGATGTTTTCCAAGACAATAAAAAAACCGAACCTATATTAGAAATTTTTATATCGTCTCGACTGGAAAACACCAAGAATTTAATTATCAGGCGGAAACTTCATCAGCGTCTACGAGAAGTCCGACAGGCTTGGTGCGGGAAACAGGAAGTGGACGGAATACACATGAATGAAGAACTGAAAGATTCGATTTTACTCACCTGGAGAAACAAAAGATTGTTCGATTCCATGACATGTGCATCCCTTGGCCTCGACTTTAACCCGAATGGCGATGTCGATACCACAGGTGAGGGTTTCAATAGTGGTAGAATACACATGGAGGCATGGACAAACGATCTCTGGGATGAATGTTGCAAGGCAGCCGAAGCCGAAGAAATCAGCGATGATGATGAAGAACCTGTTGAAGCTGTGCCTGAACCAGTCAACAAGATGAGATTGATACTGAAAGCTCAATCGAAGGATATCAAGGAATTCAAAACTTATGTGAAGCCCACAACGACGATCAAGAAACTGGTAGATGGATTCAGAAGTACGAATAAGATACCGGCGGACAAGAAAATCATTCTGAGCTTTGATGGCGATCATTTGGAACTAGATTCTACAGTGGAAGAGGCGGGTTTCGATGATATGGATACAGTGGATGTCTTGATTAGATGATGGCATGGCATACTGCTTGATGATTACGGCTGTAAAACGGTGTTTTGGGAATCGAAAGCGCGTGTAGGTGTACTGGCTGGCAAAATATTGATACCCTGAATGAATTTACTTTCCTTGGTTCTCCGACGTGGAGGAACTGCTTGCTACATGTTCGATTATTGTCCTTTAATTTAATGCGAGGACTTGGTACTTGTTCCTTCGATTTACATATGTAGGATTTGGAGTCTCTGTCAAAACATAACTATATAAATTGTAAATTCACATTTTTCGTGTAATTGAGTTAAAGTTCATAGTTCGAACAAGTGAACGGACGAAACTCGATTGAAAATGGACAGATTTATAGCCGTCTGTTAACCTTCAATCTAATCTGTGGATGATCACTCACGAAGCCGAATGCGATTCTATTGATGTGAAATCCTAAGCATTGGATTGGGAAACTAATAATTAACTTTAATGTAGAACGTCTTATGAAACTATACTCCTTATATCTCTCTCGTAACTCTTGGTATCTATAGAAAAGTTTCTTTATGCGTAATCTTTTTTTTTTGACTCGTGATATCAACGAGCTCTCTCCTTTTCCGGACAGATATATATTCTTCCTCCTCCTTCTAAACCATTATATCCACAATAACCCCCTCCTAACACCAATCCTGACAATCCGATCACCTCATTCTTAAACTACACAGTCCAAACACCCCAACACAACCCCCCAAAGCACAACTCAAGCCATTTCACAAATTTCCCGACTCTCATTCTGATTTCTCGGTAACATCGCATCGCCTTCATGCGCCAATTCCTTCGGACTAGTTGTTCCTGTATTGGTAGATGTATCATTCGCCCATAACTCCGCCTTCTGTCCGTCATTCCCAAGTTCAGCTGGTGTATCGTGTTGACCGGGAGTGGAAGCTTCTAGTTCTTGGGCTATGTGCGATTTTCGCGATTTTCTCTTACGTAGATAGAAGAAGATGAGAGAACCGGCTGCGATAAGTGCTAGAAGAATTCCGACTACTATTCCTGCAATGGTACCGCCAGATAAGGATCTTGAGCTATCAGTTGAGGTGTCTGAATACACA